AGATTTTTAATAGCTGTTATACTAAATTACATTTCTGATCAGTTACAATTTAATAGATCCAAATAAATTAGAATTTATTAAATTATAATTTGTCATTTGGAAATCAAATTTGCTTTCCTAATAGCCATGCTATACAGTAGCAAAATCATTAGCTTTGATTTCATTAGGTTGAGGCTCATTCACATAAAGCCTCTGTATTGTTGAACACATTATCACACCTGTTTCTTTCCAGTGTGTTTTGAAGGGGTTGAAGTGGGACTAAAAGGTCTTTGTTCGTCTTTGTTCTTCTTGTCTCTTTTGACAGTATTCTTCAAGCCTTGTATGAAATGTATTTTAGCAATCCTGAAAGCAGTACTTGGTACATTTGGAATAATCAATGTCTTAGGATGAAAACCTAAATCAATTTATTGAGTGTGTCAAGTCCAAGTGGAAGGGTGTTGCAGTTAAAAAAAAATACAAAAGAACAATATAATTTTTTGGAACAAAATGCTAATTATTCTACCCTGAAGGCTGGAGAGCTGTGAGACCTTCTTTCCTTCTTTGTTTTATGTTAACTGCTAGAAAAAAATGAAGATAAAAGCTTGAAATAGTGTTTATCAAAGGTTATGCTGCTTATTTTGTGTCAGACATGGATTTTGGCATGTTAGACTGGGTTCAACATTTCCCCTGCACTCAGCTATCAGCTAATCTCATTTTCACACTTCCATGTAATCTGTCCTTTACCTTTTTACCTAATTAACCCCTTTACCCACCCCCACCCCCCCCTTCCTCACCTCTTCACTGTTTTGTCTTTCTCTCTGTCTGCTGTCTCCTTGTGCTCTGTACAAACCTGAAGAAAGGCTCCAGAGCCAAAACACATGAACATAAGGTTTGTGAAAAATAGGAAGTGGTTTGTTACATCTGGGGGGGGGGGGTTTAGTATCAGATTGATCAAAGGAACCCATCCAGTCATTTCTCAAAAATTCAGAAGAGTCAGCTTCAAAGCTATTGCTCTGAGGTTTGTTCCGAATTCTCACAAGCCTTTCTGTGAAGACTATTCCCATGTCTTTAACAAGGCTTTAAAATGCTAATTTACTACAATCTTCACTTTATATTTTAGACCTGTACTATAGAGGCAGTTAGTATTATAAGTTTAAATGGCAAAAGTATGAATTTCAAATAAAAATGAATTAGGCTTCATTAATTTTTTTCAAGTGCTACTGCTACCCAAAACAAGCCAAATGTTTATGGTAATTGTAATATTTACACTTATGCAATCCCTAAACTGGAAAGCTGTATTTGTCAATAAGCCCAAAGCTGGGGTGACGATTAGCTTTACCATGAAATTATACATCCTTTATCAGCATTTTTTAAATGTTTCCATGTCTGTAAACAGGGTTTTCATGTGAATTTAGTCCCATCTTCACTTTAAGACCTACTGTATATTGCAATTACAGTTAATGTTCTACTAATCATTGGCAGTTCTTCTGTGATACATTAAAAGTGTGGATTTTAAATCAAAACTGAAATGCAAATGAAATACCCTTAATTAAGTTGTTGAAAGCACTGCCACTGCCCAAGAACAAGTTACTGTAAATATTTATGTTGATTGTAACATTTACCCTTGTGCAAACCCTTAGCTGGAAAGATGTATGTTATTAAGCCCCTGGCTGAGGTAAGGGTTAGGCGTCCCAATAACCAAGACATCCTTTAACATTATTTTTGGATTTTTATATCTCAATCAGGAGAGAACTGCCTGCAGTGCTGTTTTTCTGTTCTTGAAGAAATCCATGGGTTTTCACTTTGTGAATGCTTTGAAGATAGCATATGCTTGAATCATGTCCTTTTTTTGTGTTATACATTCAACACTAAATAGAATTTTCTAGCCTCTCAACCCAAAGAATATAACTGGTTGCTCTTATCTGGACTGCTTCCAGATCACCAACATAAAGTTTTGTACCATGGTGACCAGAATGGTAAACAATCTAATGAGCTATTACATTTGCTTTGTACAATTTATATAGAACATCTTGATTTACAATTTACACTGTTAACTATATATCCTAACATTGTTAGTGTTTTCCTTCTTCACATTATCTAGAAAATGAAAAGAATGTAGATAGACACCTTATTTCATGAGCAGCTTCTTGAAGCTTGGTGTTTTCCACCATATACTGTATTTATAGTTTGTTTTTGCTACCAGGATGCAACACACTGCACTGCGTACATAAAATACCATCTGCCATCTGTATGCCCAGTGCTGAATCTAAACCTTTTTAAATTTCCTTTGCAGGCCCTACAATGTTTGTTAATGCTCCTCTTTTGGTATTTCATCTTCCAATTTGTGTCGCGTTAGGAAAGGCAGCGGTTCTCAAACAGATCACAGTGGTACTGTATTCCACTTGTAACCCCAATATGAACATTCACCCCTCATTTTTGCTTTTTTCTATTCTTTAACCAGTTCAGAATATCCATGTCCCTGAATGCCTACCACCTGCAAGTTGAGAATGATTATTTTTTGTGTGTGGAAAATAATCAAAGTCTTTTGGAAAATCTAAAGAGATGCTCTCTGTCACACCCAGGCTGGGAGCGGATCCGGTCCTGCCGTTGCCAGGGGTGACCAGCACATTCATAAGGGATTCAGCCTTCCGCCAGCCCCGTGCAAACGGGATCTCAATTAGACCAATTACTTATCAATCTCGGGCATCAGTCCACCGACCAGTCATCCCATTTACTGGGCTAATGGGGTCTAATGGAGGCAGGGCTTTCCACTAGACTGGCACTCTGACATTTGAACTCTAACTGTGTTCAGGCCACTGCTTACACGTATGATGGTTCTGGGGGTTCCCGCCCTTGCCACTCCTGCCCTGCCAGTTCGCCCCTCACTGCCTGGGCTCGAACCCGGGTCTCCGGCGTCACGCAACAGGGAACTTGCCGGCTGAGCTAAAGGAGAACTCCCCCAGCCCAGGCGGCTGAGATCCCGGTTATACGCAGGGGTATAATTCCTTTCACACGCCTCTTTAAACCCCAGATTTTCCCTTAATATTCAGCAAGCTAACACAATTTTCTGCTCTAACCCTTTCAGTAATATGTCTCACTAACCCAAGGAAAGACATCTGTTGTTTGAGTGTGGAAACTCTGCCATTCTCTGTGCAGTGGGTGTTGGTCAAAAGAAACAGTAACCAGAGAGCACTGCTGAAAACCATGTTGAAGTGCATTTAAAACCAGGAACTGGAGGTTATTTTTTACCCAAAGGACTTTGGGAGTGTAGAACAAGCTGCCCAGCCATGTTGTTGAAGCCAGTATCCCAATTTCAATCAAGAAATAATTGGATGGGATGTTTGCATAACCTGCTCTGACCACCTCTCATTTGTAACCTTTCTTAGGTTCTTAGCAGTGGCGATCCCAAACACATTCTCTTCAGAAATATCCCTGCCTGTCACAAGACACAGTTCTCTTCCCTGTTCTCAAACACTGTCAGCTGTGCAGTGCTTTACTATTCTGATCCAATGGATTTTCTGAATAACAGATGCATTTATCCCCTGAGGCAAATTTTCAAGCACTCCAGAAACTTTAACACTAAATTTAATTTTTTCTTAGACCTTCTAGGCTTTTGGGGACAGTGATTCCTTTGTTTATTTGGAACTGGAATCCTTGTGTATCTCCTTTGATACTGTGGTGATTTCTCTTAGGATTATGACAGGTTTGGAGTAACAGTCATGATGAAATATGTGACCTTTTTGCTAAAATGTGTGCTATCTGTATATGTTACTGTTAGTCTCCCTTCCTCACACACTGATGCCTGTTGGTGTCGTAAAGAATTTAACAGTTAAACACACGAGAGCATGCAGCACACACTTAGTCTACCTTGTAATGAGAAAAACAAAGTGAAGTTGCAGAGGCTCTGAACAACTTAACAAGCCTGAGTTTATTTATTTCAAATGGAATTTGTTGGCATAATGCATTATATGCAGAAACAACATAGATCAGGCATGGTCTATTGTCTATCATTAGGTCATGAAGTCAATGTTGAATGAACAATAGAAATAAAACGGTGTTCTCAAACCTGGAAAATAAGTCTAAAATGTATACCTCATCATTAGTGTGTTTCAATGCCACATGTCATGAGATCTGTAACTCTAGAGGCAAGAGTTGACAGTTTCATTCAGTTTTAACAAACATGTTGTGTTCTCTAGAATACTGATACATGTCATAACAGATTTCTGGAGCAGAGATGGTTGGCTTTTGCACCAAACCTTAGAAGATGCAGTCAATTTTCTCATTGATGCCATTCGTAAATTATTTAAATGTGGGAATTTAACACCAAAAGTGCTATTATTATATATATATGTAATATGTATATAACAGTACAACTTGTAAATACAGAAATATGCAGAATTAAATGTGACATTCTTTACTTTTGCCTCATATTCCCCTTTTTATCTCAAATCCAAATTATTTGACTATACAGCAAAAATAGCAATTTTAAGTTCACTGAGCCAATACTGTGGAAAGCACTATAGCTGGATGTTATGCTGTTCTGATTAGAATATGAACTACCTTAAATATATAATAGCATCAACATCAGTTTCAATGTATCAACAGTGTGCTAAGATTAAGATAAATTCACTATTACGTATATAGGTAGAATCACAAGTGACTGGCTGTTGTGTCTCTTTGATGTACTGTACAGCACTGTATCAAGACAATGTGCTACAAAATAAAATTGGCTTGCTAAAAATAGTTTCCTATTAACAAAGCTCTCTGATGGAAGACCTTGTTAATTTAATGACTGCATAAATGTTCATCGTGATGCATGAATAAGTTAATGTCCCAAAATTAAAATCTCTTTTATAGTTACATGCTTCTTTTTCTCAGTTATAAGCCCTGCACTGAGAGATATTGAAAGCTGCAGTCTTGGATGCAGAAGAAGAAAGTGCTTACTTCTAATTGGGGAAAATGCATTATTATTATTATTATTATTATTATTATTATTATTATTATTCGTGTTTGTTTTGCAGATCAGTCAAGTCCTGGGAAATGAAATAAAATTTGCAGTTCGTGAACCTTTGGGTCTCAGGTGAGAGAATCCATTTGCTTTCAGACAGTTGCACATTTGAAACATCGAGATATTAACACTGAAGACCTTGATTCCTGTGTTGCTTACTTTCTTCATTTGTTCCATGTGCTTTTCTGTACCATAGATCCTGGGTCTAGAGCTGTAGGCTCAAACCTCATGTCTTGCCAGGGTGTATGAACGACTGCCTTCATTACTGGAAGGGTTAACCCATGGTGGACTAGAAATAGTATCTCATCCAGTGGAAGTCTTTCTTTCTCAGTTTGCTTGACACTACAGAACATGGCATAGGCTCTACTGATGGCTATTTTAGGAAAATTTAGTCAAGTGAAGGTTTTATTTCTAATGAAAAGTCATATAGCATTTCAATATTGATTAAACAGTAAAGATAAATCTGGGAGATCCTGTCAGTTTTCCTGTTGGTGCATGTCTCTGGTAGTCTTGAGGTCACCTAAAATGTGTCTAGGAGTTTTGAACAGAGAATGTACAGCCTTTCCAATTGAACTTGGTTGTGTGGTATTGTTTTTTATTACAGGGTTTGGCTGCTTGTTTCAGCAGTATTGTTCACAGCTGTGGCTTTAATGGTAAGTTACCTAAATAATATGGATATATTTCTTTCTTGTAACTCTACATTGACCCCTGTTGGCTGAAACCCAGAGCAATAGGTTCCTAGTACTGGAAAACATAGTTCTTAATTTGGCAGCCCAAAATGCCTGACCTACAGTATTAGATGTTTTGTTAAAATGGGAAATTCATATTGTAGTGAAAAGTTTAGCATACAATGAGGAGTGGGCACTCAGACACATACCAATCTAATTAGCCAGTGTGGGATTGCAGTGCGTCCAGAATAATCATAGCTCACTCCCCCGCTGTCTCATTAAGTTAACAGCTTTGACACACAAGCAACTGCAAATATGAGCTGAGCTGCCAATGCAATTGTCTGGAAGGACCACAGAAGGACTCTTCTTTCAGGGGGTCTCCATTCTTTGAGAACTACTATCTGAGCTGATAGCTCTCTGACAGATGAAGTACCAAAATAATCAATTATATTACACTCTTTTCCTATTACTGTATATACAGTATATTAATAACAGTATAAATTCATTGATACAGGAAATTGAAAATACAACTTTGAGCACTTCATTGGATATAAGCAGTCATTTTTCATTACACTTATGAGAAAAGCTTACTTTAAAAAAATAGAAAAGTTTTAAAAGGTTTTATGATGGTTTACAACTGAAAAAAGTCTTATTTTTAAATTTGGGATACTTAACATATTTTATTAGTTAACGATTGTTATATATGTATATAGTTAAATATTTTATCTCCAAATTTAAGCCACCCTAAATCATGATCTTTAGAATCATTCAGAAATGGTTACTGAAACACTTTAAAGACATCAAATGCTACTGTGATTTTGTTTATCTTTTTTCTCTTACAAGGTGCAGTTAGTGTAAACAGATATGCTAAACTGGCACTGCTCTGCATTTCTGTCGAACATTTTTCCCCAATCACTCCTTTCTTGCAATGTGCAGAGGAGAAGACTGAATTTCTCTGTTCTAGAGCTTTTCTCACTCTTGACTTGCAAGTTGTTCGATAGTCTTTAGCGTCTGGGTCTAAACTGGGTAGGAAATATAGTGTGAAGTTAAGAGAGGGAGGTATACTGTAGCAAGGTTGCTAGTTATATGTGAGACTTAATTGGCTGCTCTAAATTGACTTTGATGAGTCATCTTAAGACAGTATGAAAATGGATTACGCTCTTCTATAGGATGGTGATAGACAATAATCTGGATTTGATTTTAGACCTTTAGTGCTGCAGAAACTAAGGAGCTAAGGAATCAACTAGTCAGATCTTAGTTTATATAGTTCTCTTCTATAGTATGCACCATCAAAACAGAATTTAACAAAACTCTACTGTTTCACATTTTAGGAGAGGAATAACCAGATATAGTTACAACATTGTTTACAAGAAATGGGCAGCCTGGGGGGTTTATGTGGATGAAAAGTGGATTGAAGCTTAAAAAAAGAACACTTAATGATCACCATCCATCCCAAATTAGTTGTGAGACTAAATTGAAAATCGCTGTTGGGTTTCTGTGGAACGTGGAAAACATTCCTGCTTCTACGTTTAATGTGGAGCAAGGAGGGAAATTTGAACGATTAGGTTTGTGGGAGCACAGGATGAACAAAATATGTTTTTCAGCAACAGCATTATTCTTATAAGTAATCCAGATTATTCTGCATCGCTCAATAACAGTGATTAAGAGCTGTTTCTGTCAGGATTCATGATGGTGATTGCCAGGAGATGCTTTCTGTAGAAGCAGATTGGCAGTTTCTGTGAATCGGAGATCCCTGACAGGCTCTTTTTTGTCCACCTGTGCAGGCTCTCACATTCCCCAACCAGCTGTATGATGCGGTGTTTGACGAGGAGCTGTCTGGCACAAAGATTTCAATTAGACTGTACGGAGGTGCACTTCTCAGTAAGGGCTTTTTTCAAAGTTATTTTCTATGTCTTTCTCATTGTTGGTAGAGTTTCCATTTACAATGAAAAGGTGTTAAAGGTAAGTGAATTGATGTAATGTGTTCCTCTAGGCTTGTGCTTGTATTACGTTGTTATTGTGAAGACAAATTTATTGAGTAAATGTGTATTACGGATTGTGTCTTTCACCCCCTCCACTGCAAATTCATACTTCTCCTGTCTGGGGCACGCCTCTGTGCCCCCAGGTGGAATACTTATAGACACAGGAAATCTTTCATTCTCACTGCAATATCTCTTTTCAAACAGTGTATTTTACAGTAACGATCTTCTCCTTTATCTTAATGTAATGCGGTTTTACTGACTTAAAAATGTTGTCTGTCATTGTGTTGTTGTGTTGGGAGTGTGCTGTAAAACAAATTTCCCCAATGGGACAATAAAGCTTGCATTGAATTAAACTAGAAATGTTATTTCGGAAGGCCTCTGGTGAAAGAAACATTGCTTTAGAAACTCTGTCATGACTTTTTATGAAGGAGGAAAGGAGGGACTCATATTTGAACTGCAATTTAGGCAAATTGAAATGCTTGTTATGAAATATTTTTTTATATTTCAGTTTTTAATGAAATAGTCAATAGGCTCTTGATGCTTTAGTTCAAACCCATTTTTATCATGAGATTCATTATAAGGCAGTTACTCTTGACCTGTAATTGACTACTCTTGAAAAACTAGCTAGGTCACCACTTTGACCAGGCGAACATCTATCTAAGCATCTAAACATCTGTCACATTCATCTAAAGCTTTTCTGGGATGTCAAGTGTTGACACCTTTTCCATTTTCATGCAGATATCTGATGTTTACCATTGGTGCTTTTAATTTTATAAATTAGATATAAATGCTGTTAGTTCTGTGAGTTTTCAAAGTGCAAACTAGGATGGAAAAAGATTTAAGACACGTCACATTCTGAGACTTGCTATCAGTCGTATTTCTGAAAGCTTTTATATTGTTGATATGCTTTCCAGCTTGAACTTATTCTGTGTTCCAGCCTCATGTCACTAGCTGACATTGGCCAGGAATCTCCAAATGGAGGCTGAAATTAGTTGTCCTTGATTTTCAGCAATAAAGTAACTCCTGTAAGCACTTACAGGTGCTTACAGAGCTGACAGTTATGTCACTGTGAGACGCAAACTCACCCGTCAGCCGCTGTGGAACTTGCAACAGGCCACAAAACAAAACAAAAAAGTGCTGGAAGGAGAGCCTGTTGAATCTCTTTCATCTGTCATTCTCCCAATGCAGTTATTGAAAAGATTAGTCTTAAATTGACAGATTGGGTGGGTATGTGCTGTAATTAAAAATAAGATACAGATACAAATAAAAAATAGGTTAACATATAAAATGTTAACATATAAACATATAAACATTTTATATAACATATAAAATGAAATCTTCAAAATTCTTTGTGAAAAAAGCTCATATAATTTCTAAATAATTTCATATCATACTATAATAATACGGTCTCCTACACATGTTTTTTTTTACATGACATGGTTATTTTGTGTGGATTGTAGTACTACCTGTGAGGTACAATGTGTCCAGCCATCTGTCTCCTACAGACTTAGATCATGCGTGCTGGATTACAGTAGCCCATAGTGTTTACATGCCTGTTCTCTCTTTCCTGTTTCTGGGACCTCCCGTAGTGCTGAGCTGGACGATTCAGATTCCCATCAGGCTTTGTAACATGAGCCCCTTTTTTAATCAATTGCAAACCAGATGGTGAGCACAGGTAGAGATTTGTGATAATCCACCACACAGATGGTACCTGCTAGGAGGAAGGATTCTGTATCAAGTGATGCCGCTTCCCCAGAAGCTCCTGAAGCCTGCAAACACGTTAACACATTGTGCCAGAAAAGCGCGTGCTTCAGAAATCATCTTGCCCACCTTCCCATCTGGACTGCTGAGGACTCATCAAAAACTCATCCTGTAACATGGAAGAGCCTGCATAGAAGCTAGAACCTGGGAAGGGATGGCCACGTGTTGCAGGATACATGACAGGAACTGTGTTAGAAACCTGGTTTCTGAAAAGAAAGTGAATTCCTCCATTTTTTCTCAATGCTAAAAAAGTACTAGAGGTTTCTCTTAACAAACATTTCCCTTAGTCTTTGCAACTTCATCTGGATATTATGGGCATAATACAGCAGGACATGGTCAGACACACAGCAGAAGATCAAAGCACAGTTTGGTTGTCTGGAGAGACTGATGTCAGTAGACGGTAGTACATACACATTACATCTTTCTGCTTTTGTGGACCAGATGTGTGACCTTTGTGTCTTTTGAAAAACTTTTTTTTTGCTTTGTTTTTAAGTCTTGATCCACCTGCTGAGATCAATCAATGGTAAAATTAGTAACATTAACGCACTTGAAAACCTTACCTTGTGACGTCTCTTGCTACTGCTCTGCTGCCTCTACGGTTCTTGCCCCTCTGTTGGTCTGCATGTTCCACCCCTGACAGCAGCCATGATGGTCTTTCTTCGAGGTTTCTCAGCAACAGATTGCAGAGATTAAGTGGCCTTTTGCTTTGGCCCACATGGCATGTTTGATAGTAGGTTTACGATTCAAAGGTAACATCCAGCTCCTTCTGGATGACCAGGACGTCATCATCAACAACGTGATGTTCCAGATTTTGTGTAAACCACATACCCCTTGCTCTTTTAAACCTGGGATCCCACTCGATTTCACATATCAGACATCAGTCTTTTTTATGACATGTTAACTTAACTTCTAACCGAGATTCTAAACAGTGTTTTACTGGTTCATCGTACACATTTGAGGAACGGGACAGAATCCCACAAGACTGCACTGGCAACCTGATGCAAAAAGTGTTGCAAATGTGCAGCTTGAATCGCTTCCAGCAGCGGCCAAACATTCTTCACAGTAGACTTCCTGCTGGTTATTAACGTGAATGTGGGTTAATCATCAACATTATACAGAACATATGATCAGTACAATGAATGTACTTAAGTATGTCAGTGCCCCTGCTTTAAAAAAAAGATTTTCCTCATGAAAATGGTGAATTATGAAGAAAATCTATTTTATAGCAGGGTTATTATTTATAACATTGTGAATATTTTGCATTTGCAAGTGATAATTTACTTTTGTAAAATTTTATTTAGCTTCCATTAATTTCTTTTGTCTCTGTCTTGATCTTTCCAATATATTTTTGATCTTGTGCTGTGAACTGTGTTGCAGTTGATTACGCACTTTTTTTTAAACAAATGTTGTTGTTTTTAAACATACAATTTAGTTTTTCTTAATGTATTCTATATCCAATATCAAAGCATTTGCATGGATGTTTTCTATTTTTGTATGTGGCTTACTTTTGGGATAAAGTTGTTCTGTGCTTCAAGGAAACGTTTTTAAGCTGTGGCTTTCTAATCTCAACTGATTCAATTCTTTCATTCATAGTCTGTATTCCTGAAATTCTACACTTTTATATTGCATTCTTTCATTTTTCTCAAATATTATTCCTCATTCTATCTTGTAGTCTTTTCTATCTTTACCTGTTGAAGGTACTGACACACTGAGTAAGAAAGTAGCTGTTAGTCAGGTCAACCATTTCAGATATACTGTACCTTCTGACATCCCTGATTGGGTTTCCCAAGTATTTGTGAGGAAAATTAAAATCTCCCATAATAACCACTTCTACCATTTCACAGTTTATGTAGGCCTGAACTGTAATTGAATCCTGACTGATACTGTGGTATGAAGCACACCGCTAAATACTGTACCCTGTGATCTTTTAATTAATTTTAATGGGAAAGGGTAATTCTACATGTATTTGCCAGCGCAAACAATTCCTGATTTTTGCAACTCATTTGTGCTCTGCTCAGCTCTGTCTGCTTGATTCCCCTAAGGCTCACGTGACCCTGTGTGTCTTCTGCTCCCCACAGGTATCTCACTAATCATGTGGAATGGGCTGTACACAGCCGAGAAGGCGATTATTCAGTGGACGCTGTTGACAGAGGCCTGCTATTTCGGGGTGCAGTTTTTAGGTAGGTGTGGAAAAAAACACAGTTACCTCAGCACCAGCAGGGATACCTTAGTCACAACTAATACACCATGATTCCTGATATTCTATAAATGTTTGTTTGAATGAATGCAAAAAGCTCTAAAAGAGAGGATAGCTTTGGCCCCTTTTGCTTATTTTAAACATTATTCTCATCGGGACTCAAACTGACAATTATCTGCTTCTACAAACTGCAACCAGATAACTGCAGACTTACTGCAAAAGGAAACACATTCCTGTAAGCTTTTTAAATTTCAAGATATAATTAAACACATGTTAAAATGTATGTTATCTACATTTATAGTTAACAGCTATTTTCATAGATTAGATACTTGACGTGAGTATAAGACACTGCAGGCTCTGGCCTTCACATTCACTAGACTTCATCTGCTTTGCCAATTGGTTGGACGCGTTGACCAACACTCCCCTCTTGTGGTTGGGTCTTGCTCTGACATTTGCTTTTTGAGACTAGCAGTTTGTTTTGTTTCCCTTGGCTTGCAGAAGTTTCTTTGCTTTTGAAGATAAAAGGGTGTCAGAAGGTTCCACAGCATGTGATGGATAGAAAAATACATACTTAATATTCCATGCTTTTTTAAACAAACTGATTTTACCCTTAGTTAAAAAAAAAGATTTTCTGCCATGTGCAAAGGAGTTGTTCAAGTCAGTGTGACCCCAGTCTCTTATGCTTTATGCTTTTTCTTGCCTTTGTTTCAAGTTGTCTTTTATAACAAGAAGACTGTCATTTAAAAAAAAAACAATTACAAATAGATCAAGTTAACAACTACAGACAACTTTTTGAACCAATGGTTTTCCTTATTTTGACATTCATTTTGTTTTCAATATTCAGTATCTTCCCTCACTTGACCCATTGTTAACTGTGCAGTGATAAAAGTACTTGAGTGAATACATTCACAGACATCTAGCTTAACTAGCCTTTGACCTCATTCTTTTTAAAATTAAAATGTGCAATTAATTTTATTATCACTTAAAATTTAGCAAACCTTTGTTTCACTGTTTTAATGGTCATTTATTTTTATTCACCTTTCAGTTTTTATATAATGAATTACCTGTTTATTCCTCAACAGGGCATAAAAGTTCTTCACAGCAGATACTTAAACACATATGTTTACATACACAAAACAAATGACCATAGTTATTTATGGAATAAGTTCAATCATAGTTATATTCCACCCATTTACTTAACTATATATAAAACTGAAAATAATACAACTTGCACATAAAAAAATTGAATTAGAGAAAGCTCAAGTCCCACTGTAATCTGTTTTTGCTGCAGTTCATTTAATATTTGTAAGGCTTTTTAATTGATAATGCCCTATTAATGCTATAACTATAGCTGCACTGCAACTATAGCTCTGTACAGTACTAGCCTGAATGATATTCTGCATGTAATTTATCTGACATCTCTGAAAAATGTTGACAATGTCAGTGCTTTGGCATCAGATGAAAAAAGTATTAAATCACCCAGAATTGACTTCATACAATGTCTTTCAGATATGACAACTTAGAGCACTTAATAATGAGATTAATTGCAAGGAAATGTACAAAAAATAGCATAGAGGTATTCAGACTATCTTTGTAAAACACAATGTGCTAAGATTTACACTTGTAAAGAAAGCCCTCCTGTGCCAATCAGCCTGTCCTCCCCTCTGTCAGCACAGAACCAAGATGAGTGATGGTGAGTTTGTTTCCCTTCAGTAAGGAGCTGTGGCCTGTGTCGTTGCAGTGACAGCCATCACTCTGGTGGAGAATGGGTCGGTGTCTAACGGCGCGATCCTCCTCCTCCTCAGTCGAGTTCTCTCCATTGTCATCAGCCTTGCTTACTACCACCACCTGGGGCGCCGGGCCAAGAAGATCTGAGAGGACCTTCGGGGGCGGGTGGAGGGAGGGCCTCACCCCCTTCTTGCGAGGGGTCCTGGTGCAGCACACAACCCTCACATCCCCAGCCCCACGATCTAAATACAGCCCCCCATCGGGACCTGGGAAGGCCAGCTTCTACCAACGATCTCCAGAGGAGGGCTACTACCTGCCTATATAGTTGGTGTAAATTAAGCCATTGGACCCAGACTGGGCAGAGACCAGTTCCTCTCTCTGCCACAAAGCTATGGTATAGTTAAATGATAAAGAGCAAACTATTGCAGTTTCCTGCAATGTGTAGAGCACTAATTTATAGCGTGTTGCTTTAGCAGTTACTGCAGAGTAGGTGTGGGGTCCTAGGAAATTAGACAAGTCCTGTGGCTCAGTTTACACCTGGTGTAGAAGTACATTGTGGGACCAGGATAAAATAATTGTTCTTAAATATGCTGGCATAGTAATTTTAAATCATTCAGTATTGATTGTGTACTTTATGCAGTGTAGGTTGGCATTTATTGTACACAGTTTCTGAGAACATCACTTTCTGTTTCTCACTAGACAAAGTGTGATTGAAGGAATTCTGCTTTTTTTGCTGATGTTGTATTTTTCACTTCTGTATATTAAAATGACATGCTTATCCTGTCTTATTTATTTAGTGAAAACTGGAACAGCTACTCTGGTATAGCATCCCAATTCTGGAGTTTCAAAGAACATACAGAGGCTGTTCCACTGTAAACGTGTTCAAAACAATTTACAATAGGAAAGATCCAGGGCAAATGTATAAAACTAGGTTCCGAATTGTTCAAAGAGTACTCATCATAAATACAGCTATGGAAATACAGAAAGTCTTGGATTGTAATTGGTTCTGAACTGCTCTAAAAATGTAGTGTACAATCTGTTTAATTTACTGCAGTGACCCCATTGAATTGACAGTAGGCTGTTTGGGGAGTGTCTAAATTGTGAAAACTGACGGCTGTGTAACATTAACATTTACATATTTAGAGTGTCTTTAACCTTGGATAATATCAGCTCTGATTCTTCCCGATTCTGGACATTAACAGTTTTGCCTGTGGAGGGGTCTGTTATTCAAAGAATTTATTTCTCTGTATACAATTTGAAAGGAGTGACAGCTTTAAAAATCTTTGGCGGCTATAAACCGTGAGTGAACACAGAAGTGTGTTTGAAATAGCTGTTTATGTGCTGTATCTACTTCTATTTACTTTAAATGGAATTTAAGTCTGAACCAGAAAACGGGGAAAAATGGCCAATTTAGTCTGGGGGGTTTTGGCAAAAAGGAAGACAATGACAAACTTTCTATTGTGAGGATGGCTGAATGACATGCAGTGGAGGGTAATATAAACTGGTAAAGCTGTTTTCACAAAAATAAAGCAATTAAAAAAACTGCTAAATGCTAATCACGAATCACTACTTTTAAAGTACAGACCCATAATGTGCATGCTTCAGATAACCACAGAGGTCTGCCTACAATTTTAAGTTTGGTGTGTTACAACATCGTGTTATGTGCTTAACCATAACATAACTTATCTATCACTGTACAGCATATAAACTTATTGCATAGCAGATGGCTGGTGCATTTCATTAAAATATCTTCATTTGCTTCACTTGATTTTTACAAGATACATGTAGCAGAATTTAAAAACAAAACATATCCTCAGACTTGCCTTAAATCTGAAAAAGAGAACAGCACAAAGCTCAGTTCGACAGTTCTTCATTAGAATGTACATAAGGTTTTCTTTGCCACGGTGGTACTTTTATTTGTATAGACCAGACTTCAAATTGTTTTGTTGTGCTTCGACTTTATGAGCTGAAAACGAGCACGTTTATGGGTGGCCAAAGCAAAAAAATGAGTCTTTCCAGTTGTTACCCTAGTGTAGTCACGTGATTGAACGGACTTTTTGCTTGGCAGCAATGTCTTGTTTTTGCATTTAAGCTTTTTGAGATTCTGTAATAGCTTCGTTTATTTCACCAACCATTTTCTTTTCTTGATTATAGTATTTTGTAGCAAAAGTTTGTTCCTGCTGTTTTTTTACTGAGCATTTCATCCTCCTAATCCCATGGCATCCACACTGTAATATTCACAATTGTATTGCCTGTCTCCTGCAAATTAACCCAGTTTATATAAAATACACCTGGGGCTACAAGGACAGATCTGTCTGTTAAAGACACACTTTTTCAGGTATGTAATGAATGGTTAGTAACTAAAAGAAGTTGTGCAAAAGATTATTGATTTTTAGAAACAGTTTGTTGGAAAACTAATTTTATTTCTTAGTGTGTGTGTGTGGTGTAGACTTATTATACATATGTGGGTGTTTATATTTGAAATGCTGATAGTATTGCCATGTTTTGTTTTTTAGCTACCGCTGTTCTGAAATGCTGCAATCTTCCCCGGGCTGGTTTGTATCAACAGTCTTCCCAAACAGTTTTAGTTCCCTAAACCTAAGTTGAAGAGCCAAACTATGTTATCCAGACTTTAAGCTTTTACCCCATTTTACATGGTGTGGTTTCATACTGAAAAGACAGAGGTCTCATCAAAAACGAGAACTGCAGGTTTTGTTCAGTTATATCCTGGATGTTGGTAGAATCAACAGACTAGTTTTTGTAAATTACGGGTAGAGAAGTGTCCTTATCTTTTGTTTTTGTTTTTTAAAAGTGATCTACAATACGTATCCAGGCAGGAAAAGAGCATTCTTGTGGCATTAGTTGGTTTCATGTGCTTTCTGCTTCTAGAGCTTTTATCTTTCTTATTAAACTAGTGCATTTTGATTTTCATGTGGGTAGGACTGCAAATGTGACAAAATGGTTAACAGTTTAGAAGGAAGAAGAGGGTTTTTTTTCCTGGAAATGCTGTGTCAAATGCACTCTCCTCTGTAGCATGTTCCTTCCAGTTTTAAAACATAATGCCAGTAAAGGCTTTGTATTTATTTTTTAGTGTGCAGAACTATGGTTGGTGTAGTGTACTGGTAGACACCTGTACTCTAACCACATAGACATAATGAAATAGCTTAAGCATCCGGAGTTAAGCCTATTTGTTCCTTATTAAAATTGCACATTTTTATTACTGGTCCTTATTCATTTGTTTCAAAAGTTCTAATTTTTTCTACAATTTTTTGTTATATTCTGATGGTAAATTGCAACTATATTATACAGTAGTAGAAAAAAATAAAGCCATCTCAGTGAAGCAATCTCATGCTGGGTTAGTAATCTGTTTGTGTTATGGGCTGTTTCATTTAACGTAGCAGAAGCTATGTTAATTGAAGAGGAGCTTTGCGTGACTAGCTGTTTGACGGGGTTGACGGAGAATATTGAACAGTTATGATGAGTGTCTAGATCTGTAAGAATTAGGAAACTGTCTGTGCTTGCTGAGTTGTGCAGTTATTCTCATTTGTAAGAAAAGACATACTGCTTCTTAACCGTTGTTTCCCAGCAGTGTTCAAATTGCTGTCATTATCATCTTTGCAGTGTTAATTTAAAGAAATGCATGATTCAGTATGTCTGACATACTGTTGTATATTGTGCTGCTGTATTAGAACTGTCATTTTGTACCTTAGCATTATAATTGCAGTGTATTCTGAATTTTCTGGAAAAATTACCCCATTTTATAAAATAATTTTAGTGCAGAGGTCAATTCCTTTCATGGGTATACTTGGGTATATTTCATGGGGTTGGGTTAGAATTTTTTTTTGTGTCTTAAACATTCGTGAAGAAAGAACAGAGACATTGCTTTAACAATCAAATGTTTTTTTAAAAACATTTTACTTGAAAGTAAAATGGTTGTTACAGACATTCATTTTGTTTTGTTAGCTTTGGAAAATATTTACTTTTGGAAACTCCAGATGGAATATTGTGTGTGCATTCCTTAAAAATAAATGTTTGTTTTTTTCAAGCTGTGAGATTGTCTTTTTTTTTCTACATGAAATGTCAACATCTTGGCATGACTTTCATATTGCGTATCATTAGTGGAGGCAACAAGTTTTCTCAGGGTTTCATACCTGACATGTCATTCTAGATTTGAACTGAGGGGGTCCATGTTGTTCAAAAGTGAGCACCATGCTTTTTTTGACTTGTGCTTAGATTACCTACGTAAATCTTACACCTGCTGTGTGCAGTGAAAGACATGTTTTATCATATGTGCAAAAACATTAGAAAAGGTAATACAGAGATGTATTCAAGTAAATTACCCTTTGTCTTCAGCTAAACACTTTCATCTTGGTAATTAAACAATTAAAAACATTGCCACTGCTGTCACTGCTAATGCAAATCTGAAAAATAAATTCACAATAGCACATAGAAAAATGACTGTACTCATATTTGTGATTTAACGTATCAGTATTTGATGTTGCCTTTTTAGGTTTTGAGTGAGATGTGTGTTTCCCCAGTTATTTATCTATTTCAATGATTAAACACTGAACTACTGCCCTCCATTATCCATAACATTTCCTTATAGCTGTTTGCAAATTGCAGAACCAATCCACAATTCATTCCAGTAATCGCAGGTGTGATCTGCCTTACTAGCTTCTTCCTTGGAAAGAAACCCCCAGCTTCTCTTGTAAGTCATTATATTGAGTAATGTTTCATAAAATGAGTAAATATTTGCTTCCAGGTGGACTTGCCAAGTGAGAGCTTCTTTCATGGCTCAATATAGTTTTACTGCTCTTTTAATACATGTCTGTTGTATCATTTACTTCCTCAGCTATGACTTCAGTTTTTTCTCGCTGGTTATGATTGTTTTTCATTATTGAGCCTTTAACATGTGTTTTAATTCTGCCTGAGTGCCTGAGGTGGTTATTATCTGTCACAGCTGTCCGTAGTTATATTCTAATAAAACTGGAGCAGTTGTAGGCTGTAAAGGAATAAGCAGTGGTTAATTACACGCTGAAAAGTAGAAAGAAGCAAAAACAAACAATTCACTTGTGGAGCATTCTTCACATGTACACAGAGCCATGTTTTTATTACTTGTTTCTTTCTTTCTCTAGTCATTCCTGTGTGGAATAAATTAGTTTAGAATGATAATGTTTAAATTGACAGAGGTGAAAATACTTTTGTGCTGATACCTAAAGTTATGGCTTGAAAAGCACGCTTGAGGAGTTGATTAGTCACACAAGAAGTCCACAAGAAAAACTAGTAAGAAACTAGAACGAAAATGTAATTTGGCTTTAATGTTGTGGTGAATAATTGCTTATGCTGAAGGTCCAGTATTCTGGGCAAATTAGTGTAGCTGCATCAAGCAAAGAGCCACTGTCTTATCCATAAAGCCAAGTCGGTAGTCTTCTTGTTTTATGGTGTGGTGCAGTGATCTAGTCAATGCTAGTTTTAAGATTTCTAGCTCTACAAGTGTGTATACTGTACTTAGATTCTCTGGAATACCTCGGGGCTGTTAAACATGACTGCCCTCTCCTTGTTCTCAGTGCTTATTTGTATAAATTTGACTGTGCAAATTCGCCCTGGCTTTGTGCTCACTTCATCTTGCAGACAAACACTGGGGAGCTTTCTCACTATTTACATATTCTCATGAAACATGAAACAATACCGTTGTTTACATTCCTGTTGCTATAACAATATGGTTTAGTTAATGTGAAACTGGAACTTAACCCTTTATTTTTATAATATTCTTGTATTAGGATTACTATTTTCTGTATATAACCGAATACTGATATATGTAGATTACCGAAGAACTGCTTAACTTGCTGAGAAATCTTCAGTGATCATTGTTTTAATGGAAGATCTGGTCAAAACAAAAATGAAAAAGTTCAGGAGTTAAACCTGTAATAAGGGAATCCGTCTTAATTTATTATAATGGTAGATTTTACATCATTAAAATAAATCCATTCTGGTGGACCTCAAAGTTCTTGTGACCGATTATTTTTTACCCAGGTTTAATACAGTTGTGTCCAATACAGACATTGAGCACAAAACCACAATAAAAAATGAATTTTCTGAAGATTACTTTTTATTTTAAAATATGGAACTAGTATTGTTCCATAAATATGCACTGTTATTGAGTGAGTTCAGATATTCTGCAAGGTAGCATCACTTATTAAAATCAGAATAAAATACTATTAAATATTATTTTCTGTTGACAACAAAACATCCATTTCAGCCCTGATAATCAAAGAAGCCAACCAAAAGTACGGTCGTTGTATGTGAATTTTCCTAAAGATTACAGGCATAATTAATTTCAAGACTAAGTGCAGTTTTTATAAGTAAAGGGACTGTATGACTTAGTCAAGTGGCTCTATTTAAAATACAGACGCCTCAGTACTGTTACACTTGATTGCATCATTAAAACAACAAGGGTTTTACACATGTGTTTCATTAAGTCCACCCATCCATTATTTGAAAGACACTTACCCTGGTGAGGGTAAGAGCAAACTAGACCACTTGTGGACGCTTAGGGTACAAGGTGGAGCTGAGAGCACACACCTGCCCCACCCTACCCCAGAGAAGGTCACAGCATAAGGGCTGCTAAGCAAACTCAGCCAGCATATCTCTGGCAGGTGGGAGGAAACTAAGACACCTGGGAAAATCCCACACAGAAAAACACACGGTCAAGGTCCAGAGCCCAGGACCCCGGAGCAGTGGGGCAGTGACACTACCACACCATCACGCTGTCCCTAAATCCTAGGAGTGTGGGGATTTGGAAACAGAAAATAATGAGGAGCATTTTCTTATTTTCTTTACAATCAAAAACTTGTTGTAATTACTATGTATTATTGAACCCTGGAAAGTGAATCCAAACTATTTTTCCCACTGACCTACATGGCTTTATAGAGGCTGAGAAATAAGTAATCAACAGGTAACATTGACAGGTCAGCTTCTCCAGGGGTGATTTTGTAGGTTGGTACAACAGATACTGTCTATTTTCACATGTGTTGGCCATGAAAGGGACCTATCAAAATTTTCTTCATTGTATCCCTTCTTATTCTACCCTAATACAGGCTTCTACTTGCCATTTAATTGCTTTGAATGTAAGTAGCTTCCATGATATGGTTGTTAAACCTGTTAAGTGATACAAACACATGGGTGTGATTCATAGCACGCCCTTTTAACTCTGCCAAAACCAACCTTAAGTTTATATTTGTTGACGTGGGCAGTATAGGAGCGCAGTGGTTAGGATTGCTGCCTCTGGGGTCCTGTCTTCAATTACAGACCTGGGGTGCTGCAGTATCTGCATGTAATTTGTATGTTGTCCACATGTTTGCATGGGGTTCCTCTGGGTGCTCTGGTTTCCTCCCACAGTCCAGAAATATACTGGTAATTTAACTGGCTTCTGGGGAAAGTGGCCCTGGTGTGAGTGTGCACATGTTTGTGTTTATGTCTGTCTGCCCTGTGATGGACTTGAGCCCCATCTAGGGTGTATTCTGCCTTGCATCCATTGCTTCCTGGTTAGTCCCATCCCTGAACTGGATGAACTGGTTAGGAAATGGATGGCTGTTGTCAATGTAGACGATAATAGCTGTTTAACTAGGGGTTAAAGACCTGCTCTAGTTTTAACATAGATTGGTTTCAGTGGAGTTGTCAGACTATCTGTATTGTTGAAGTTAACTATGATAAATACAACTGACCCTAGAATAGAAGCAGGTGGTCCAGAGGCAGCATCTGCCAAATCTACCAACACCCAGTTCTACTTGACCTGCACATGTTATTCCTACTTAAGAAATAACTTATCCCCTGGTCAAACTACAAGATATATATTTTGTTTAACTCACATTCCCACATTGAGTCCAACCTTTTTTCAATTTTAGTTTCAATTAAGGCTGGCAAAGCTTGAAAGAAAACAAATGCTCTGGGGAGAAACAGTCGTGCATTTTTGATTAATTTTCATAACAGTCAAAAGGGGAAATCCATTTAAAGTAGCAGCCAACAGAGGGAGATTTGCAGTTTATCTTGCAACACTTTTTTAAAAAATAGTACATGTTACTGGATATGCAGTATGTCTGAAGAAGGTCCAATATATCTGAAATTATATCATATCTGTTTAATGTGGTTTGTTATGTTGCCAGATTTTAAGATGGTTGAAGACACTGAGCTTCATATGGGACAAGGGTGTATTTGCCAAAAGCACAACTGGCCATTGCTCATGAACTACACACCTGGGCTCAAACAGCTGAAGAAAAAATGACTAAGCAGACAGTCATCACTAAACCCAGTTTCTGAATGCACATTCTTAGGCTCTCTGGGTTGACTAAACAGTCACAATAATATAATGCATATTGAGACAATCTTGTAAAACAGTTTCAGTTCTTAATCAGTACTGAAGCAGACTTTGTTCTTCCTGTTTATTTAAAAAAATATATTGTTTTAGCATGCAGTCAATATGAATATTGGAGTTACAGTAATGTTGTTAATGTTCAAGTATTATTATTGCTGGCAAAAGAGCATAATTTCTATTCCTGTTGTGTGCACAGTTTTCATACAGGCAGAGCTTTTAACTGCCTAATCTGTTATTATACGAGTTTGGGTCTGGCCATGATTAGTTTGGATCAGGAGGATTTATTGTACTATACTTGAGTTTACTTCACTTCAGTCCCTTTTGAAAGCAAGCCTGGCTGTGACAATGAAATATCAAAATCAGAACAAAAGAATGAGAAGAGGAGACCTTCAAAGGAAATTGCAGAGACAGGGGATAGGCTAAATTAAGAAAGAAAATAATGCTTCACCTTAGAGGCAGGGTGGAGGTTACCTTCTACAGCCAGTCCTTTTCACGAAAATCCGATTGTCAATTCTTCCCTCCAAACAAACTGAGAAGACTCCAGCTCAGAGAAACAGTTGTGTGTTTTCTATGACCTGATTTTTTAGATTGTATCATACTCACAACTTGAACGAACCATCCTGAACGATGACGCCTGGTCTTCAGCGTTTTTCTTTCTGTTGTGAAGTTAGTGTTGACATCTATACTGATGTCACGAGACTGCTGGTCATTATCACAATGGCCTAACTCAGAATCAAAGCTCTTCCAGTCTCAGCAGGCCCTGTCACACATGGAAACACAGTAGAGGGCATTTAGGCTGTGTTCCACAGAAATTTCTAACCACTTACAGTATATAGATCCAGATGGAAATAGTGAAATCTGAGCCTGTGCATTTCTGTTTCAGATAAGTAATTCACATTAGCATTTTCTTTTTCATTGCAGGACAAAGTTAACTAACACAAAACAACCAAGCATGTCAAAGAACATTTGCTTTCCTGCCTGTACACACATCTGATAAAACACACATGTATTTTGTATTTGTTTGTGGGTGGATATGCTCCATAGCAGCATTCACACTTTTCTGAATGGAAATACGTTTACAAGAATACGTTTTCTTTCTGTTTTACACTCTGTAGCACTCTTCCAGTTGACTCATAATATGCAAGCTAAGCACCTTCTAGTAGACATCAACACATCCGGCTCTTAGATGGTATATTACAGTACACAACAGTAGGGCGACTGCAGTATAGTAGAGCGATTTGCAGTCATTTCTTGTTTTTGTTTCGCAACCTGCTTCCACTGAATGTCCCAGTGCGACCGGATGGAGCTGTGCGAGTAAAGCCTGCTGTGTTCTGAGCCACCTGCAGGGACCAGTTCCTCTCCCATTAGCCTTACTAGGTCATGCTATTACTGGACTGCTGTCACCCACCTCTGGAAGCACTGACAACTGTGCTCTGTGGTAAACAGGAAGTATACAAAGTGAACTACCATCTTGCCATTATGTAACAGAAAAAAGCAACCACCCTCTCTATGATACCACAGTGCCCTTTGCATACTTACCAGCAGCTACAACCCCAAATAATACATTCCCTGAAGGCACTTTCCATACAAAAAGCAATAATGATGACAAAATAGGGTTTTGAGCTATGTTTACCTGTACCACATCATTCAGTTCTCTGCCTTAAGCAACAGAAGACCGCAGGCTTATCTTTTTCTTTCTCACTCTTAATATGATTTAAAAACAAACAAACACAAAATAACCAAACATAGAAAGAAGCTACCTGAATATTAATAACAGATTCTGACTTGACACTGTCACAGACCTCTGTTGGCTCGAGGATCTTGGGTTGTCTGTCATTATATTTGAGCATGCACGAATTTCTCATGTAAAACTGCAAACATATGCGTACAAAATTGATTCAAAAACAGTGCCCAATGTAATGTTCAATAACAGTTGCTTATCGTTTGCATCATCTGCACAGTACATTTATTCCAATATACTGTCGTCTTGTCCGATATGTTCTAGGATAATCGTGCTTTTTGCATGTCTCTTCCTTGCTTGTTTTAATATACAAATACATGAATATTTATTTGTATACGGGTGGATTACAAATAAACAATACGAGTACATACAAATAAAGTAATTGTGTATTTTTAACTAAAGGGTTAATATACTTAATTCCCATATTTGCCACATGGCGGGGATTTAGAGACGCCCAGACTCATCAGCGCTTGGTTCGTCATTATTCAGAGTGCATTGTGAAAGTCTTTGGAGGCAGTTCGGCTGGCATTTGTTAGACTTTTAGACCCCCTTTGACTTCTAACGTAAGTATTTCTAATATTTATTCGACTGAAGAATATATAGACTATCTTAACGAAGCTAGGGGCGACTTTGTCGCTGAACAAAAAAGGCTCGGTGTTGTTTCTAGCGCTTCTTTAAAACTTTTTTTTTATCGTACATTGCACAACAAATAAGTTAAGTGGCTAGGCATGTAAACCATTTTTATAAAAACTTAATTTTCTCTTTGTCTCTCTTGGAGTTTTTTAAAAAAATGTTTCAAGTACTACTGTAGTAGCTCTGCTGATGTGGCATTTGTATTGGTCGTGTTGAAATGTACTGTAACTAAGCTTACCCACAAAAGTATAATTACAAACAGGTGTGAGAAGAAGGAAATCGGGGTGCTTGAGTACTTGTTTTGGTACTTGAGTTAAAATAAATATGTTCTTTTTACCTTTTAAGTTTAATGTTGTGCTGTTTTCAGCGATCGACTTCTGTTCTGCCAGTGAAATGGGCACCCTTAAAGAATTTTAAAGTAGTTGCGGTTTGCATGCTAGTGACGTCCACATTTCCCTAATTCCATATAGTCGCTTGGTTTCTTAAATGGTCGAGTTCAGCTAACTACCGCAACGCAGCGATAATTCAGCAATGAAAATAAATATAACAAAAATGCAGATGACTGTACCTGCAGGTAGTATTCAGTCTGTTAGGAGTTTTAAATATTAATACAACACAGATATTTGGCAACGCATAGTCGTTTCTGTTACTATATCCTATATGTGATACGCTCTGCACCGCATACTGCTGTTTATAGTATTGTTTTTGCAAGTATGGCGTTTTGGATTATGCCAACAAGAGGATACTTAAAAAAAAAACAATTCCCATTTCTATAATTAGCAGGCTTTCATTGAATTTTCTGGCAATGCTTTCAAGTTCCCGTGGTGAGATGTTTCAAACGTTTCACATACATAAATACAATGTTTCACACGCGTAAATACAATGTTTCAATAAACATCCAAGGGGAGAATTATACTTTTTGGAGTCCATATTTTTCTATAAATGTTGCTTGGCCCTATATTACTCTCTATCCTAGATGGCCCTGGATTAAGAGACCAATACTTAAAACTATCCTGTTGTTAAGCGACTAATCAGTCTTTTTCTGAAAAACAAAAAACACCATGAGAAAACCCCGACCATCCCGATAAAGAGCGTATGGTTTGTTTTACAGTTGCTGTTGGAGGAGGAATACATTGTAAAACATGCTTGTTGTGTATCCAAAAGGGAGATCCGGCATTTAGTGGCTTTGTCACAGCCGTTTAAGTACATTTTGAGACTTTAGTTGCTTTTCTTGGGCAGTGGTTGATGATATGATACAGTATGTGAACAAGAAGCTAGGCATTTGAAGTATTTATACATTGGAATTTTGCTGAAAAAAAGTTTCCTTTGTTTTTGTCTGAAAAAAAATAATAATGAAAGCTGTTGTTTCAGATGCAACTGACTACATCCAGGTTTGTTTTTCTGTAATGTAAAAATTCCCAGTGGTAGTAAAGAATTGACTGGAACATTGTGTTTTGATATAATGGAGAAACCCCACCAGTGAAGGCACAGGATGTTTAGAAGGTCAGTTTCATTTTTTTTTTTAGTTTTAAATCTAAAAAAATCCTAACTGGATTTCATTGCAGGGAAACAGCAGTTATTTAAAAATCCCCTCCACATGCGCACACAACTCAGGGATTCACCTACTGTACCAATAGTTATATTGCATTTTCACTAGAATGTGTTACAGAAAATCTTTCGTGATTTTTATTCATCTAAATAAGAACTAATAGATGTTAAAATGTAAATAAGCTATAGATTTGAACATAAACAAAGTACTTAATTAATTACTAGTTTATTAATAATTAATTAGTAATAACTTAATGTAATTAAAAGTGCCTCAGATTTAGTCTTCGGAAATCTTATTTGACTGGAACTATGAAAGAGTGTAATGTAAGTGTCACGATTCTGTGGATGTTTTGTAATACAACGATATCATGCTTTACTTTTCTCTCCTTGTACAGCTATTTTGTAAGACAATCCATTAAGAGCTGTTGTTGGCATTGAAACAATCTGAAAATGGAAAGGTTTAATCAATTATAATCATACCTTTTCTCGGAAAAGCACGTTTTGGTGTTTTCACTGATCTTCTTAGATAAAAAAATGCCAACAACGGCCAAGTTATGTCTTTAAGTTTGGTGTTGAGAAACACGATTGGTGATTCTAACTTGTGGGCGAGTGATTCGTTTTCTGTAAACAAGTGTTTGGAAAGAGTGTTCCAAGGAAAGTGATTTTGCTTTAGCATGGAGCATCCTGGTCGAGCACAGGACAACTACTAGACACTAACACGGGCCTCTTCTTGGATGTGGCTGCGTAGTTGCCATAGAAACCTATTCAGCTTGTCGTGGGAATGAAAGGACATGTCTGGGAGAAAATGTCTATTCTTCCTCCTCCGAGACTGAAAGATAGCATGGGTACTTTTCAAAGCTAGAGCAAAAGTACCTATCGAGTAGCTACGCAGTACTTTTCTTTCACGTACTGTAGCTTATTCAAATATTGTAATGAAGCAGGGCAGTTGATTCTGAATGGGTCCTTTCTCACTGTCCTCCCTCCTATACTGTATATTATTCACACTAAAGCCTTTTTTTTAAAAAAAAAAAGCTCCGTATGGTATTTTGTTACCGTTTGAATGTGAACTAACTTGTAAGCTCTCGGTTTCATTCCAAGAACTGCAAAAGACCATCCCTCACATTTTGATGGGCTGTTGTGGGTTGGAAAACATAAAGGCTGGAGTAGGGTTCTGTGTATTGGGTTTTCCTTTGTCAGCGGTGAAAGCTGCCACTGTTGTTTGTGAAAATCAAAGCAGAGCCTGTGTTTCTCAAGCCTAGTTGAGAGAACAGGAGTATGGGCGTCAGCGCCTGAGGGTGTGGGGGCAGGGTAGAACGCTCAAGCCAACCACGTAAAGGTGACTTGAATGCAGAGTCTGCTTTTCTTCTTTTCTTAGCTTCTTTGGTTCTGAGTAGAAGAAAACAGGGCAAAAAAACAAGTTTCTGCTCTCTTTGAGGAAACATATGAAAGAAAATGGAGAAGGAACCTTTTCCTTTCCAGGACTACAGAAATAAAAGCTATTTTTGAAGGTTTTCTGCAGTAGCAGCTTTTTATTTTTTGCTTGATGCAAGCAAAAGATATTTAGAAGACTTCTATATAGGAAGCAACAGTGTTGCATCTTTCTATGTTTTAAAACTCCTTAACTCAAAGATGTGGGAGGAAGTGTGTACTGTGTTTAGATCCCTCTGATAGTTGAGAAGATGATGCTGATGCACACAGATGGTCTTCTTCTTTCCTGAGGTCTTAATTTTCTTCTACGTTGGTAAATATATTCTGTGTACTAGAAACTAAGATGTGGATTATTTTAAGAAAATGAGATCTAAATTGGTCACTGCAATCAACATATTTCATAAAGAGTCTCCTTATTTAAAGATGACCACGCAATACAGACAAATCACTGTTTGCTTTAATCTGTATTAATTACCCATCAGCCCTTTACACTCAGCCTTGTAACCTCTTAGTAGTTTGTAATATGAGCTTGTCACATTGTTTTTGAATGAAAAACAGAACAATTAGGCTTGCATTCTGGATGCTCCAGAACCACTCAAATGGGAAAGTTTGTTGTTGCCAGAACATTTCTAAATAGTATTCACTAGGAATAATGTCATCCAAGAATTAAGGGTATTGAAATGCTTGAGTGTTTTAGTCAGAATAAATTTGGCTTGGCTGAGAGCTGACCTACTTTATGATGTTTTTAGGTGAGGAAATGATGTCAGGATTAATTATGAATCACTGACAGCGGAGGTTGCTTCAACATAGCTGTTGTCATCCCTCACAAACTTCTGTTATAAATCCATTCATCATTCTGAATATTGAAAAGCACCACCAATGCAAATATTTCAGATGGAATGATGGGCTTCTTATATGCTAATCAGACTCACAATCTCTGGCATGTGACAGGGGACTACCCTTTAGGTGGCAGTATCTGTGGCTAGACATGTAGCATGCAAACAATAGCATTATCACTCAAAAGCACCAGGCTGGTGTTTCCTGGGAAGCCCTCAACCTCAACCAAGTAGTTTTCTTTTTCCAAGTAATTTGCCAAGGCAATATTAATTTTAACAGTTGAATCAGTGGCATCCTGAAACACATCAGGCTGAATTAGGATATCATCTCACACACATTTAAGACAAACTTCCTTTTTCTCCCATTTGGAAATGTTTGTATGCCTTCCCCATGGGAATGGGAAGCATGGGATTACATTCCAATGAAATTACCTTTAACAGGATTGGCTGTGTTCCTGATGTCAAAACATTGCTGCCCTGCTCTAACTAGGCCCAGCTAAAGATCCCTGCCTGCAGCTCCTGGGTCAGTTGACATGGGAATATGGTTGTACTGCAGTTCTCCATGTGCAGTCAGTCAACCAGTTAACATATCCCAGGCATCACCTCCTATTGAAACCCACTGCCCTGAGGCTAGCTGAGTGGCCAGAGTGAGAGACCAGGAGCGTTCAAGTTTACATTACATTAGATCTTTGTTCATAATTGGCGTTTCATGTGTAACCAATGTGTAGATTTGTTAGTACTATTACTATACTGCCAGGAGCCTTTCTGGAGCGATCCTGACTGAGGTTTTAGGGTCACCCTTATCGGAAGATGGGGCCTTTTGCAACACCTCATACAAATCTTCTCATGCAATATTTGACTCTGTGAAAGACATGCTAAGTATTATAGCACACCAGTGATAAAATCCCTTTTTAAGAATAATGACAGAGATTGCGGTCAGCTTTGCTGTGCCCATGA